TGTTTTTGTGTTCACCGTATGTTGTATGTTTTGCACTCTTAATAATAATTAAAAAAATAAAAAAATGAGATACTAGTAATGCGTTACTGCCGTGGATATTCCAAATTATAGCAATCAAAGCGTCTCTGCTGGAAAAACGCTGTGCCACCAAAGCGTCCTCCAGCACCACCAGTTGGCCGTTTTCAGAAGAGCGCCTGACATTTTTCAGCTGGCTAAAAAAGCTTTGGTGGACACACATTATTGAATATTTATTGTTAGGCATATGGCCTATTAGTATTTTTTGCATTTATGCAATATACTGAAGCCAAACATGAGAAAGTAGACCAGATTATTCCACTGCGTTCCTGGACACGCAATTTGCGTAGCTGTAATTATAGGCGGGGATTATGGTAATTGTGAATGAGCGTGCACGAGCGCCCTATTTATGAATCATTGGAATTCATTAACATACGCATGTTTAACTATCAAATCGGAAGTTTACGAAGCGTTTGTGAATTGTGAGAGTTTTCGGGAAGGTCCGTTTTACACGCAAATTACTCAGAATTTACTCCTATATTTACGAATGCTTCATGAATGAGGCCCAATGTGTGCAAGTTATTTTAGCATCTCAGGTTATTATTGCTCTGAGACAAGACTGGCGATTTTAAGAGCCTTATGTAGGACTGTGGGAATCCTGGCTTTTCTTTCTGTAACTGCAGACTGAAGCAGGTTTTGGGGTGAGAGAGGATAAAAAAAAAAACTAATGATGCACATTATATTGGTACCATACTGATTATGATCATCGGTATTGGTTGAAATGTCTGTATTTGACTTTTCATACTTATTTCTCATAATTTTAGAATACCTTTGCAGTCATTTAATTTACTTAATTTAAGTTAATCATTAAAAGTGCACCAAGAGCTTGTAACACTCCAAAGAGAAAGGAAAAATTGAAATCGCATCATATGACCCCTTTAAATGTAATCTTGAGCAAGTCTCAGATTGAATATTTCTTACTGTTGTTGTGATGCAAAATTAATTTGTAGCAGGTAATTAATACAAATGGCTTTATTTTTTTAGGGTTTTATTTTCCAATTTATTTAGACAAAATAGTATAGCTTATTGTGTCAGCGCATGTAATATTGGTAAAAATATGTCCTGCTAAGAAAACATTTTACAGGTATCCATGCTATATTGTTTTACTTGGCATGGCACCTGATATAGAGTTAAATGTTTTGATGCATTTATAAGCAATTTCTCTGGTGTAGACAAGGCCAAGCAATAAATAAGGGTCAAAGACGTTAAGATGTCCGCATCAAAAGAAATTTACAAAAAGTGATTATATGTCCATAGAAAGCACATTAAATATAAGTAAAGTGTCTACTTTTAAGGTTTCAAATAAGTTTTTGGAGAATAAAATGTTAAAATTTGGTTGAAATAGTGTTACATTGTCATTCAGTGTAACACAATATTTATGTAAAAATTCAAACAACATGCTTGTTCTCACATGTACATATTAAAATATATAAAGGAATAAGGGAGCATATTACATTTTATTGTGTTTTAAATGAGTAAAAATTCTTACTGACAAATGGGCAAAACCTAGGATAGTGGCAAATTTAAAAAAATGTAAAATTACAACTAATTAGTATTTGGGGTGAAAACTACAACATAATGGAAACCCCTATAAATCCCAGCATAACAGAACATTTAACACTAACACATTAACACTCTCTCCCTATATTAATCTTGTGCAAAAACACACAAAATAACACTTAATTTTAACATTTATTCTCCTTATACAGTCTAAAACAAAGCATTCTTGGATTAAGAAATTTGCTGCAATTCATCCAGTTCAGCTTAATGTAAACAGTTATTGAGTTCATGTAACTGTAATGTTGTAAAACAAAGCTGTAAAACATTCTGTAATGTTTAAGTTGCATGAACTCATTTCATTGTCAGTTTTAGAGTGTATGGAAAATTTACAATTCACAACATGAACACTCTTCTTTTTTTTTTCTCAGTTAGAGAGAGAACTTTACTGCACGTATAAAGTGTCATCCCTCATCATTGAGGACATTTAGTTTGTTAAATTGCTCCTGGTCTCCCCTACATCTTGTTGGGAATCCAGTTTCTGCTACTGCATTGAAAAAATGCTTAGTTGATGTGTTTTGGACAGTGTCCACCAAATGTTGAATCACCGGATATTTTAATCCTTGTATTACCTCTGCAACTCTACTTCCTTAGATCTCGTTGCACAGATCTGTATATATTTCATTGTGACATCACAATACTGCACTGTGTTTTCATTTTTTCATCAGTTACTCTTATCTGTATGCAAATAAAGGGTTTGATTTACCATAACTTAAAGTGAAGCATAGTCAGTGGTTTGCAATGAAATATAGTTCCTGCTGACACAGACATCAGATGCCTGTGGGAACTGATAGAAATCAAGAGAGCGTCACACACATATAGACCAAAAGGAAGGCCAGGAGATGAATGGGGTACCTGCATCACCATCTAGTAAAGTCAAAGACATGGTCGCCATGGAAACCACTTTATTTAGATTTAAGAGATGGATTTGGCAATCTATCAAAGGGCTTTTCTGCACATCTGAGCATTGCTGCAAATTTGTTTTATGATGGTCTGTGGGTTTCTTCCCATAGGGGATGGTGTTATTTTGATCAACAGTATTCAGAAAAGGGACATGTGCATAAACATTTGGGATGTTTTGCTTTACACTGTAGTGTAATTCATTGTGTTTGCACAGGTTTACAAGGTAGCCAGAGCGCCTTGGTGTCTGATTTGTCAGAGGATTCTAATTAAGACTTAGCAAATGTCCTATGGGTACATCTGTTTGTGCAGAGACTCATTAGAGGCATAGTAGACGCTAAGCTTGTTTTGGTGCAGTGCACACTGATGAATCAAAATGTTGTGAAGTATATGCTATCATTCACCTGATTCCATTGGGCTGAACATTAAATTGACAAACACATGTCCAGTAGTACATGCCAGTGGTGCAAAAAAACTTGCATCATCAGCACCTGGATCGAGGCGGTAGCTGCATTGCCCATATTTTCAGTACATTTTCTGATTGTTATGCTGCAGTATTTCAGACCCATGTCAAATCATGATATAAAGAAATCCTTGAAGGTAGAAATTTTGTTGATCATAGTTCAACACCACGA